TTCACCTTTACAATTGTTCTTTAAAATTTTTTAATAGCTTTGTTGAGGTATAATTCATTTGTCGTGCAATTCACTCAAAGTGTACAATTCAATGGTTTTTAGCATGTTCCCAGAGTTGTGAAAACATATCCACAAAAAGAAACCTCATCTCCATTAGCAACCATTCTCCATTTCCCCGCAATCTCTCCTAGCCCTGGGTGACTACTAACCTTTCTGTCTCTATAGATTTGTTTATTAAGGACATTTTTCACAAATGGAATCATGCAATATATGGTCTCTTATAACTTGCTTCTTTCACTTAATGATATGTTTTCAAAGTTCATTCATGTTGTAACATATATTAGTATCCATTCTTTCTATTATCAAATAATATTACCTTGTGTGAAATACCACATTTTACTTACTCATTCATTAATTCATGCCATTTTGGGTTGTTTCTACTTTTTGGCTATTATGAATAATGCTGCTCTAAACATTCATGGGTGAGTGCTTGAATAGAAATATTTTTCACTTATCTTGGGTAAATTCCTAAGTGTGGAGTTGTCAGGTTATTATAGTAGCATAATGTTTAATATTCAAGGAGCTGCTAAGTTGGTTTCATTTTACTTTTCCACCAGCAATACATGAGATTTTTAATTTCTCCATATTCTCGCTAACACTTATTATGTCTTTTTTATTATAATCATGCTATTGAGTGTGAAGAGGTATCTCATTGTGGTTTTCATTTGCATTTTCCTAGTGGTTAATTATGTCTTATATTTTTCCATGTATTTATTGGACACTTGTACATTTTCCTTGAGAAAATATCTAATTAGATTCTTTGACCATTTAAATATTGAATTATTTATCTTTTTGTTGTTGAGTTGTAAGAGTATTTATATATTCTGGATACAATTCCATTATCAGATATATAATTTACCTAAATTTTCTCTTACTGTTACCTCCACATTTTGAACATACTTTTTATTAGCTAGTTAGTTGAGGAATAATAAAATAATAATTATGTTAATATTCTAAGTCTTCTTGATCATAAAACTAGAATGTAGTAAAACATTTTGCAGATTTTGGCTATTCTTATATATCCAAATCAGGAAAAGAGGTTGAGAATAAGGTAGAAATGAGAACCTGTCTTTTCCTGAAATACAAGCGTAAACCGTGAATGATCCCAGTGAAACCAATTGGTTGTTAATTGATTTTCTTACCGTATCATTCTCTTATTAATTCATTCAACTGTACAAGGTAATGTGTGTCACAAAAATAATATAGGATTCCCTCAAATAACATAATTTAAATTTTAAAATAAGGCACAAATAATCATAATGTATTTTAGGAAGTGATTATTTCAATATTGAGTAATTACTATATGCCAGGTATTAGTAAGCCCTTGGGAAACAAAAACACTAAGATGATCTATTTTGCCTTCATTAGCTCTCAGTTTAATGTAAACAAAATTACACGTTTCATATGTTGCTTGTAAACACATTGCAATAAAATGTAATTTATAAAATGTTAGAGCACTGCACTAGGCAGAAGCGGTCAATTCTAGGATCCACAGAGAAGCCTTACAATAAAAGAAAAAGCTCCAAGCTCAGCTAACAAAGGTTCTTCCTTCCTTTCTTCTTTCTATCATCTATCTATCTATCTATCTATCTATCTATCTATCTATCTATCTATCTATCTATCTATCATCTATCTATCTATCATTATCTATCATCTATCATCATCTATCATCTATCTATCTATCTATCTATCTATCTATCTATAATCATCATCTATCTATCATCTATCTATCTATCATCTATCTATCTATCTATCTATCTATCATCTTTTATCATCACCTACCTACCTAGTATGCATCTATCAGTTATGTATTAATTATTTATCTATCAATTATCTATCTATCTATCTATCTATCTATCTATCTATCTATCATCTATTTGCTATTTATCAGGGAAGAGTGAGCATGTGTGAACACCACATTAATTAAAAAAACCATAAAACTGAGGCATATCTTTAATATGAGAAGTACCAAATATGTTCCCTCCTACTTTGTTCTTTTTCAAGATTGTTGTGGCTATTTGGGGTCTTTGTTGGTTGGTTCCATATAAAGTTTTGGAGTGTTTGTTCTAGTTCTGTGAAATATGTCGTTGGTATTTTGATGGAGATTGCATTGAATCTATAAATTGCTTTGGGTAGTATGGGCATTTTAATGATGTTAATTCTTCCAATCCACCAACAAAGTATATGCTTCACTTTTTTATATCTTCCTCTATTTCTTTTTTCAATGACCTGTAGTTTTCTGTGAAGAGGTCCTTTACTTCTTTAGTTAAGTTTATTCCTAGGTATCTTAATTTTTTTTGCTGCAATGGTAAATGGGATTATTATTATTATTATTATTTTTAGTTTCTCCTTCTGTGAGTTCATCACTGGTGTATAAGAATGTCATTGAAGTAGGAGGGATCACATTACCAGATTTCAGGTTATACTAAAAAGCCACTGTAAACAAAACAGCCTGGTACCGGCATAAGAACTGCCAGATAGATCAATGGAACAGAGTAGAGAACCCAGAAATTGACCAAAGACAATGCTCATTTAATATTTGACAAAAGTGGCAAGAGCATACAGTGGAGTCAAGACAGTCTCTTTAATAAATGGTGTTGGGAAAATTAAACAGCTACTTATAAAAAAATGAAGCTAGACCACCAACTTATACCACACACAAGAATAAACTCAAAATAGATAAAAGACTTAAATGTAACTCATGAATCCATAAAAACTCTAGAAGAAAATGCAGGCAACAAAATTTCAGACATCATACACAGCAGAATTTTCACTGATAAAACACCTAAGGCAAGAGAAACAAAGGAAAAAATGAACACATAGGGGACTACATCAAACTAAAAAGCTTCTGCACAGCAAAAGAAACAACCATCGAAACAGAAAGGGATCCCACCATATGGGAGACCATAATGGCCAATGATAAATCAGATAAGGGGTTAATTTCCAAAATATATAGAGTGCTCATACAACTCAACAAAAGGAAGACAAAGAACACAATAAATGGGCAGAGGAAATAAACAGACACCTCTCCAATCAGGACATACAAATGGCCAAGAGACATATGAAAAAATTCTCAATGTCACTAATCATCAGAGAAATGCAAATTAAAACAACTATGAAGTATCACTTCACACCTGTCAGAATGGTTGCCATCAACAAATTATCAAACAACAAGTGTTGGCCAGGGTATGGAGAAAAGGAGACTCTATTATACTGCTGGTGAGAATGCAGACTGGTGCAGCCACTGTGGAAAACACTATGGTGTTACCTCAAAAAATTAAAAATTGAACTGTCATTTGACCCAGTGATCCCACTTCTAAAAATATACCCTAAGAAACCTGAAACACCAATCAGAAAGAATATATGTACCCCCATGTTCATAGCAGCACTATGCTAAGTGAAACAAGCCAAGCAGAGAAAGACAAATATCACGTGATCTCACTTATTAGTGGAATATAATGAACTAAACAAACGGATGAACAAAATTGACCCAGAGACAGAGAGATGAGGTACAGATTGACAAGTCTCAGAAGAGAGAGGGTTGGGGGGGGAGAGATAAACCACAGAACTTATATGCATTTATGCATGACCATTGGACATAAACAACAAAGCTGGGGATGGGGCATGGGGGATGGGAAGGAGGGTGTCAATGGGGGTAAAGAAGAAACATCTGTAATAAAAACAAATTAATAAAAAAAAAAGAAGTACCAAAAATGTAGGATTCTAAGAAAATTTGTAAATTTTGAGCTTGAAAGATTGAGAGGAACCTAGAAACTCATAAATAATTGAAAAAAATTGTTTTCTACCCCAGAAGTTTTATAAAAGACACTAATTTAAAATATATGTAAATAAATCAGTCTGAAAGTTCTTTGTGTTTCTCTCTCTCTCATCCCTTTGTCCTTCTGTCAGGACCTTTACAGAGAATTCAGAATAGAACTGGGTTCCCCAATTCTTCTCTGTCTCTAGAGTTTGCAGACTTTCTTTGTGGCATTAGTGAGCTGATGTTATCAAGACAAATTTAAAATATTTCTTTTTAGCTTTGAATATAAAATAGAAACCAAGGAAGAGCTATGACCCCAAACCAGAGCCAGGTACTACACTTTTTCCCACATACTTTTCCTTAACTAGAAGAAGTCATCACCCCACTTTCAATCCCCACCCTGAGGAAATATCTGGAAAATATATATATATAATCTTATAATTATAACTGGAATTTTAATTGTACACCTACTATAAGCAGAGCATTTTTTTACACTTTGCATATTTAAATAGTAAAAAATATGATTCCAATTAAAAAATGTTTTTATTTTATTCATTTTTTTTAGAGAGAGAGAGAAAAATATTGATGAGAGAGGAACATCAATTGGCTGCCTCCTGCATGCTCCTTACTGGGGATTGAGCCCCCAACTTGGGCATGTGCCCTGATCAAGAATCAAACCAGGACCTCTCAGTCCATAGGACGATGTTCAATCCACTAAGCCACACTGACCAGGCATGATTCCAATTTTTATTTTTTTGCATTTATCTTCAGATAGAGAGGGAGGGAGAAAGAGAGGAAGCGAAAGAGAGAAGCATCGATGTGAGAGAGACACACAGAGTGGTTGCCACCCACACGACCCCAACCGGGGATGGAGACAAACTCCAAACGAGGTACATGCCCTCTTGGTGCATGGGTCGATGCTCAACCACTGAGCCACACCAGCTGGGCAAGAAACTATAATTTTTAATTGCACTCCAAGTTTAGTACAGAAGGCCCAATTATAGCTTAGATTTGTTTACAATGTATGCTCATAGATTATATTTACTTAAATTTAATGTCCATAGCTATAAAAATTTAGAACAAATAAAATATCATTGAATTGATCATATAGTCCTGTATTCTTTTCTCTTCAAACACATTTTTCTTGTCAGTAATATCATGCTTGTCATATGATTCTTACCTGGAAGTCAAAAGTCCAAGTGCCTCTAAAGGATGGGAGAATTTCCATCTTCTCAAAATGGTATGCATTTCTGAAACAGTTCTTTCGTCCCACCCAGGGGCACTTCCCAGGACCAAAGGAAGGCAGCAGTTTTCATTGTTGCAGCAGAAGCGGTAAAACCATAAATATCTTCTCTTTTCTTCAGAGAGGCTGCAAAACCAGATTGAAAACTGTCATTTACTGGAGGTTTCTATACTAACAGACGTTGCTGTGAACACAGTATAAAATCTTACTCTCATTTTTTAAATTTTAGTTTAGTTAATTTTGGAAAAGAAGTCCTTTATCTTCTTAGAACAGTGTGATGGATTATTTCATCAGCTTATTCCCCACTAACTTTATTCTTTACAGATAATAAAATGAAAATTTACTGTAGATAATTTACATCTATTTATTTTCTCCCCATTATCTTTGCTACTTTTTACTTACTTTAATTTTTTTTCCTTTATTGATTTTAGAGAGAGAGGAAGGAACAGGGAAAGAGAGAGAGAAACATCGATGAGAGAGAACATCGATTGGCTGCCTCCTGCATGCCCCCCACTGGGGATTGGGCATGTGCCCTAAACAGGAATCAAACTGGTGACCTCTTGGTGCATGGGTCATCGCTCAACCATGGAGCCACACTGGCCGGGCTATCTTTGCTACTTTTTTAAAAATGATATTTTGGTGGGCAAAATCTCTGTCATCTCTAAGAGCAATGTAAGTTGAAATGAGAAAGCAGGGCAATAAAAAGATTATCTAAAACGGAGCTCTTGATCATACTCAATACCTCAGTTTTTTTTTTTTTTATCCTCACCCGAGGACATTTTTCGATATTTTGTTCAGATAGAGTGAGTGGGAGAGAGAGAGAGAGAAACATTGACGTGAAAGCGACACATCGAGTGGCTGCCACCCGCACGACCAACCAGGGCCAGGGACAAACTGCAACCAAGGTACCGTGCCCTTAGCGGGAACCGAACCCGGGTCTCTCCGGACCACAGGCCGACGCTCTAACCGCTGAGCCAAACCGGCCAGGGCAATACCTCAGTTTTTAATGGCCCACATTTATTCTTCCTCCAGAAAATGACTCTAACTTCTGCCTCATTGATCAATTAAAAAACGTGGCTTAATTGATTGACATAATTGATTTCTTTGTTTCTCAATTGGCTTACCTCCTAATTACTGTTAATCATCAAGTCATGTCTTTTCAACTTCCAAAATATGCCTCTCAAATCTAGTTGTTTTTTCCAATGTTCACAGCCATCACTTTAGTTATAGCCACAATCACCTCTTACCTAAAGTATCACACTAACCTTTTCCCTGTACTTGCTTCCTCCGTACTCCTTGCCAATCTGTCTTGAACTTGTGGTCTAAGGGACTGCTCAAAAAGATTATTCAGGTCACATGACCTCTTTGTTCAAAACCTTTAAATTATTTCTCATTCTTGGGATTAAAGGTCTTATCATGTTGTATATCTCATCACAGTGTATATCTAAAGAGTTACTTTCTTAGTTCAATGTTTTTGGCATATTATTAACGAGCACAGTCAGTTGTAGCTTAGATATTGCCAAGTAGTAAGTACAAAGTTCGTAATTCTCTTATAGTTCTTCCTGGGGTTTAGTTTTATTTGGAGAATTACTGTTTGACAAAATTAAAGCACTCTGTTGTCACTAATTTAGTGCTATTAAAACATAATTTAGCTCAGTTGGTTGGAGCATTGTCCTGTATATCAAAACATTGCAGGTTTGATTCTCGGCCAGGGCACATACCTAGGTTGCAGGTTCAACTCCCAGTCCAGGTGAGTTCTGGAGACACCAATCAATGTTTCTCTCTCACATCAAAGTTTCTCTCTCTCTCTCTCCCTTTTCTTTTCTCTCTAAAATCAATAAACATTTCTTCGGGTGAGGATTAAAAAACAACACAACTCATTTGTGTACTTTTAAAATCTGCTAAGAGAATAAATTTTGATTTTCCTGTTTATTAAAACTACTTTATGCCCACTTGAATGATGGTTAAGCAATGAGTTATCCCTATTAAATGCTGATATATATCTAATCACTCTCTGATTTTTTTAAAATTAATTTTAGAGAGAGAGAAAGAGGAAAGGAGAGAGAGACAGAAACATTGGTGAGAGAGAACATCAATTGGCTGCCTCTTCCATGTTCCCCACTGGGGATTTGGTTCACAACCTGAACCTGTGCCCTGACCAGGAATCGAACTGGTGACCACTTGGTGCATGGGTCGATGCTCAACCACTGAGCGACACTAACCAGGCTGTTTTTTGAACTGAATGATTTTTAATCTTTTTATTTTTCCTTTGACTAAAGTTAAAATTGCTTAATATCACAGGAAAAAGTAACTTTAAAAAAAACACACAAAATTACTAATTTAGCTCCTAACACTAATTGGTAATCCCACAGGTGTGCCTTTAGTAAATGAAAGAGGGTATGTGGGAAGGAAGTTCCACTCTTTATAAAGTTATGAATCCTTCCATAAGAATACTCCACTGTGACCGATGTTGTCATGAATAGTAGGTTACAGGACTCACAAGACTTGGGTCACTTACAGTAAGGGAGACTGTTTCTGTGAAAGTCTGGCAATATGTTTTAAACACTCTTTCGGTGGTTCTTCAAGATTACTTCTATTATCTTCATCATCAAGTTGCATATACTCCCACTCTGCAGCTGGAAAGTCAATCTGAAAATAAAGAAATGGTTTGCCACATACTGAAAAAACCCAAAAATGCATTAATTTTATCATCCCCATCTTAGATTTATAAAAACTAAAGTAAAATTCTTGTATTTTCTGTACTACTTATTACTTAAAAATAAGTTTTGAAAGAATGATTTGATTGGACTTGGTATTTAAATATACATGGCATTTAGCAGATCCTCAATTATTTATATAATTGGCATATTATGGTGTTTGAGGAAAAATGAGAAAAATAACAGTATATAAACTTTTCATAAAATGAAATATATGTTTTTGTTTAAGGTTGAAATTATAGCCTTTCTACATTTTAAAATTAAAATATCTTTCCATTATTAAACTATAAAAATTATAGATGGTAATTACACTTTTTCATGTACTCACTTGGAAAAATAGAAAAAAAGTTATTCTATGTGTGTTTCTGCTTCATGAATGTCTGTGAGCCATAGTGTAGGCATGAGAGTGAAATCTCCTCTAGTGAAGATGTTTTACAAGTATATAGCAAAGGAATACTTTTGCCCTGGCTCTGTAGTTTAGATGCACAGACAGGACCAGAATGCAGGTCTACCTTTTTCTGGGTTTCCAGGAAGCCGTGTTTCAGTGACAATCTGGGGTTAGCAAGTAATGTAACAGTTAACGAAGAATACGCTTTCAAACCATATAAATGAGCTAAGCATTCTAGTGCTCCATATATTTGCTTAATGTTATCATAATTAAAAAAAAATTTATGCTAGAAAATCTACAGAATTTATTTTCTTTGCTGAATTATGTTAGGTTGAGATCTTGGGGAAAATTGAGGAGCATCAGGAGGTAGACTTGTGTGAGTTACAGTTTGAAAAACAGTTTAATCTGTTTAGGTTCCTGTTTATGTGAAAAAGTTTTAGCGATTTCATTTTGTAACCTCTAAAATGTCCTGCAATATTTGTTTTTGGTAAAATTTTTGTTATCAGTAATAAACTGTTGCCTCCCCCAACATCACTGATAATGGACGATAACACATAATAAAAAGTTAGGTAAAGTTAAATGTTTTGGATGACTGAGTAGGTAAGAACTGTAATTTAAGGAGAAGGCCCACTTACATAAAAGAAAGAATTGAAGATTGTGGCATCTGCATTCGGATAAATGGACCAAAGCACTAAATTTGGAAATATAGGTGGGTTGGGTTATTAGAGTGATCGGAGGTATAAACACATGTCATTCATTTAACAAATATTATATACCAGGCACTGTGCCAGATGCTGGGAATAAAATACTGTCAATGTCCTCAGAAATCTCCCAGGCAGTGGAAAAGAAATATAATGTACATATGTTGATAAAAGTCGTATTGGTCACCATGTGAGCACAGAAGAAGGGTTCTCACCTCTGCTTGGGAGGGAGTAAGAAAGAGATACCTAGGTGAGGGTCCAGAGTGAGTACTAGTTACACAAACACAGTCAGAAGAGGGGTGGGCAGTAGATGGTGAAGGGAAGGGACATTGTAGTCAGGGAATAGTATTTATAAATACACATAAAGTGCAAGCAGAACAGTGAGTGTTACAAGCTACAGTATTTTCCAAGTTGCTAGAGTGCAAAGTGTGACACAGGAGTGTGAAGAGAAACCATGAGAGGGAGTCATGATCTAGAGCCTGGCTTTAGTTCTCCAGGTAGCGCTGAGATATTGATGAGTACACGTAGGAGAGTGGCAGGTTCAGGTTTAGGTTTTAGAAGGATCACACTTGTGGGTTTGGGATTAGAGCATGCCAAAACTAAAGGCACAAAAATCAGCTAAACTGCTGTAACCAAGAACAGATGATATGGAGGATTGGAGATAGACTTTCAGAACACATGGAAGATAAGTTGGCAGGACATAGTGTGGACTGAATATGAATAAGGAGGAAGCAACTAAAACAGGTAGGTGTGGGGGGGGCATAAACAGAGATGAACAACTCAGGCAGTAAAGCTATTTTAAGAGGAAGGTGAGCTCACTGTGGGATATGCTGTCTTTGAAGCAGTCTACTGGGTATCAGGTGGGGTTTCTCTAGGGGTGTGGCTCTATTTGTCTCAAGTTTGTGGTGTGAAGAAATATGAATCAGAGCTCCAGACTCAGAAATGAACTTGTATAGATACTGTCAATAACTTTAGAAATGAATGAGATCCAGAAATTTCACTGGTAGGCATATATTCAAGATAAATAAAAACTTATGTCCATACATAAACTTGTGCATGAATGTTTATAGCAGTGCTATTCTTAATAGCCAAAAGGTAAAAACAATCTGAATGCACATTGACTAATAAATGGGTACTGTGTGGTACGTCCACACCATGTAATATAATTCAATAATAAAAAAGAATGAATACTGAGGCTACTACATAGGTGAACTTTGAAACATTATGCTAAATTTAAAAAGCCAGTCACAAAAGACCACATTTTGTATAATTCTATTTCTATAAAATGTGAAGAATAGATGTGTATAGAGACAGAAATTAGATTAGTAGGTTTTTAGAGCTCAAAAAAAATGGGCTAATTGAAGGTGATAGCTAAAGGTTATGAGATTTCTTTTTGAAGTAATAAAAATGCTCTAAAATTGATGTTAGTGACAGATGTATATATCTGTAAAAACATTAAAAACTACCAAGTTGCACATTTCAATGCAAGAATTGTAAGGTACATATAGCTTTTTAAGAAAGTCTGCCAGGTAGAATATAGGTACTAAGAATAGCAAAGAGTGGCAGATGGAACCCTTGAAAACTGTCAACAGTGAGAACTAGCAGAAGGGGAGCCTGGGGGAGAGAGAGAAAGGATAACCAGAGAGAAGTATGAGGAAAAACATAAGAGAGCAGTAACACCAAAGCCAAAGGAGAAGAGTTTTCCGTCATGGGGAAGAGATACACAGGGCCAAAAATCACAGAGAGGACCGGTGTGAAGAGGACTGAAAACCATCACTGAATTTGACAACTAGATATTAGTGGGTTGCCTGACAACAACAGTTAAGTGTGGTGAGGACATATAAGCAGAATATAGTGAATGAGGCATAAATGGGGAGGTGGAGAAGTAGAGAAATATAGACTAGAATAAGAGAAACCTTAACTCTTAGTTCTTACATTGTGATAGAGCCACTCCACTAGATTGTGTAGGGGAGAGACAGGAAGCGGAGGGAGACTCAGGGTGATGGAATCATGCGATAATCTGTCTCCATTTCTGCACTCAGATCTACTTCATTCTTTGTTTTATTCATTTATTTTTTATTAATTTACTTTTGTTACACATGTTTCTCCTTTCTCCACGCAGACACCCTCCTCTCTATCTTGCCCGCCACCAAGCATTGTTGTCTATGTTCCCTGATTACGCATATATGTATATAAGTTCTTTGGTTTATCTTATCCCTTCCCCCTCGCCTCTTTCCTCTGAGGTTTGTCAGTCTGAACCATACTCTTTTCTATGACTCTGGGTCTGTTTTGTTCATCATCGTTTTTTGTTCATTATATTCCACAAATAAGTGAGATCATGTGGTATTTGTCTTTCTCTGATCGGCTTATTTCACTTAGAATGATAATTTCCAGGTCCCTCCATGTTGTCTCAAAAGATACAAGATCTTTCTTTCTTTCTTACAGCTGCATAATGTTGCATTGTGTATATGCACCACACCTTTTTTATCCACTCATCTATTAATGGACACTTGACCTGATTCCAGATCTTGGCAATTGTAAATAGTGCTGCTATAAATATAGGGGTGCACATATTCTTTCTGATTGGTGTCTTAGGCTTCTTAGGGTATATTCCTAGAAGTGGGATCACTGGGGCAAATGGAAGTTCAATTTTTAATTTTTTGAGGTAACACCATAGTGTTTTCTGTAGTGGCTGCACCAGTCTGCATTCCCACCAGCAGTGTACTAGAGTCCCCTTTTCTCCACACCCTCACCAACACTTGTTGCTTGATGATTTGTTGATGGCACCCATTCTAGCAGGTGTGAGGTGATACCTCGTAGTCATTTTTATTTGCAACTCTTTGATGATTAGTGATGTTGAACATTTTTTCTTATGTCTCTTGGCCATTTATATGTCCTATTTGGAGAGGTGTCTCTTTAGGTCCTCTGCCCATTTTTCAATTGGGTTCTTTGTCTTCCTTTTGTTAAGATGTATGAGAACTCTATATATTTGGGAAATTAATGCCTTATCTGAGGTATTGTTGGCAATTATGCCTTCCCATACAGTGGGCTTTCTTTCCATTTTGATGATTGTTTCTTTTGCTGTGCAGAAGCTTTGTAGTTTGATGTAGTCCCATGTGTTCATTTTTTCCTTTGTTTCTGTTGCCTTAGGTGTTGTATCAGTGAAAATTCTGCTGCGTGTGATGTCCGAAATTTTGTTGCCTACATTTTCTTCTAGGATTTTTATGGATCCACGGGGTCACATTTAAGTCTTTTATCTATTTTGAGTTTATTCTTGTGTGTGGTGTAAGTTGTGGTCTAGCTTCATTTTTTTGCATGTAGCTGTCCAATTTTCCCAACACCATTTATTGAAGAGGCCGTCCATTGTATGCTCTTACCACCTTGTCAAATATTAATTGAGCATAATGTCTTGGTTTTATCTCCGGATTCTCTCTTCTGTTCCATTGATCTATATGCCTGTTCTGGCAGGACTAGGCTGTTTTGATTACAATGGCTTTGTAGTACAACCTGATATCTGGTATTGTGATCCCTCCTACTTTGTTCTTTTTCATGATTGCTGTGGCTATTTGGGGTCTTTTTAAGTTTCATATAAACTTTTGAAGTATTTGTTCTAGTTCTGTGAAATATGTCGTTGGTATTTTGATGGGGATTGCACTGAATCTATAGATTACTTTGAGTAGTATGGACATTTTAATGATATTAATTCTTCCAATCCACGAACATGATATATTCTTCCACTTTTTTATATCTTCCTCTATATTTCTTTTTTCAATGACATTTAGTTTTCTGCAAACAGGGTCTTTACTTCTTTGGTTAAATTTATTCCTAGATAGCTTAATTTCT